ATAGTAACTGAGTAATTTCAACAAGTCTTATAAAACATAAAACCAAGTCTAAATGTTAACGTTGCGAGCGATACCATGCGAGTAATCGCCCAACAGCACTGTTAAAATTTTTTGAGTTAAAACATGCAAACGTCGATTTAAAGGAATGCATTCTGATTTGAATGCTTCTCAATGCCGGAATCCGGAACGATATCTCATAATATTCTATTCGTAGTGAGCTTGCTCTTGACGGAACTGCTCAACAAGTTTGTAAAATGACAGATGATGACAATCGACGGTCTGCTGAAAGGATCGATGCCGGGCTTCAACTAACTTGTTTGTGCGTGGGAGGTTGTCAACTACACGATCACGAACGTTCCACAACCGCAAGGCAAACCTTGGATTTGCCCGTCTACCCTTTCTTTGCCTGCCGACATAAGTATCTTCCCAGTAATCCACTAAAGGTGCCAGAACAGGTGGAAAGCTCTCAACCAACTCGTCGAATGCAGCCAGAACATCAGCAACCGGAACGAAGGCTAAAGCTAACAGCATCTTCACGAATATGCGAAAATTTTCATCTTCACAGAAGGACGCTGCAAGGTTAAGGTCTTGAAGCTTGCGCTACATACTCTGGGCGAGATGGAAAAAGCATCCAACAAGTCGGGTATCCGGGAAGACAATTGAGTAGGCATTCTGACTTGCTTTCTCGTAGTCCGACATTATACTTGACGGCTTTATTTCCTTCAGCTTACGAAAAATACGCTTGGAGCTCTCTTCTGTTTTGTCTGGCATCACGACGTAGATCAGAGGGTAGGCAGAAGCATCGACCAACGCGTGAATGAAAAAGATTTGGAAGAAGAGAGCTGGTGCCACTTTGAAAGTTCCATCGATGAACCAGTGAGAGTGCTCTTGAAGGTGATCCAGGTTGGCCATGGTTGCAAAAATCAAAATTCGATGTTCGTCGTTTTCGCCCGAATCGAAAAGTGAGAAATGTTCATTTTTTGTTGTTTCTAAAAGGGATTCTGAAATAACGATATTAGCCAGAGAATTCAGTGGATCGCATAGAGGATCTTGTTGCTTCCGCTTGTGCTGTATCGACCTTTGAGAGGCGGCGTAGTCAGGTAGAAAACTGGCTACCACCAGCGGAACTGCCTCTGTGCATTGCTGAATTATCTGTGGAGGCTTTTGAACGGTTGTCAAGCTTTGCTTCGAATTTCAGCCACAACTTTGGTGGCTTCGTTGCGATCGGGATCTGATGCATGATTGTAGTCTGTCACACCAACCACAACATCAGTTTCATGTACTTTTATACTACCAGGATAATCGTGCCATGCACATCTACAAGAGGTGCTACCGTCAGTCATAGCTCTGTCCTTTCGTAGCCTGAAACCTTCATACGAAGGATGCTCTCCGTGATTTTTTAACCTAATTTATAAAATGGTTTGATCTGTGTCACGCAGAACATTTGCAGACACTGAGCAAATAACTTTTAGAAAGTCTTCTTTGTAATTGGGCCTTACGTACATTCCAATCGAGCGAGCCTATGATAGAACTCAGATTATCACGTCTGGCGGCACTTTTTGATTGCAAACAACCACAAGGCGGGTATCATAATCTTTGTACTGCGTCGTATTGTCTGCGCCGTTTTGTCGAGGTACTTTAAATTGCGCCGATTGTTACGGCGCCCGCTAAAAGACTGAACAACTCTTTTGATTCAATCAGAAAACGCACTCCTGAAAGTACAAGAAATAGGACCAAATCTAGTCACTTACTTGGGAAGGTGTATTTATCAAGGAGAAATCACATGAACGCGCATTTTCGTAACTACTGGGAGTCCACAAACGGCGATCCTTGTTGGAGGATTTCGGTTTATATGTTAGTGGTATGCGTTAGACGAATATCAAAGACGTTTTCTTTCCAGAATGTAATTTTTGACACCATATTTTTATGACTGAGTGTCTAAGCCTCATCTAATGGGACTTAGGTACGCGGAATAAAGGAATCATATAATCAGTAAGAAGACATGAAAAGTATAATGAAGCGGATGCCAGAAAAGCAACAGCACCTACGAGTGACAAATGACACATTTTGGTAACTTAGATCCGCAGGTTGTATCATAGAATCCGGTACTTAGTTTCATAGTAGAATCCAAATCAGATGGATTAACATCAATTCGAATTTGACGATGTAACGGAAGCAAACAATTGCCAAAAAGTCCTGCCTTTCAGCATAGACAAAAAACTGATCTAAAG